GATTCAGCTCTGGCTCTTCCTAGGTCCTAGAGTCATGGGCTTCCCTTTTCAACCTATGGGTTCTTGATTCGTATCTAATTGTTTGGAAATACTTCTCTATCCTCTGCTTTCAATTTCCTGTCCCTGGATTGTACAAAGCACAATGAAGGGGCAGGTAAAACCTCAATACAGAGATGGCCATGTATGGGGAGTTCCTTCCAAGCGTTCAAATTAGAGTTGGAAGCATAGTTGTGATATTATGTTAGAGGAATCTGAAAATTGGGGGTGGGGAGAGATCTACCTGGGGTGCCTAGAAAGTCATCAAGAACACCAAGGTGAGATACAGAATGCCCAGATCCCATCCTGTTTACTCCACCTCAGTGCAAGGCCCACTCCCATCTGGGTCACCTTAACTTTACTTCTTATCTCTCTCTCCATCTCCAGACATCTTGTCTTGCTTAAATGGATTCTCACTATTCATCAAACAACATAACTTGCTTTCAACTCCATGCATTTGCAGATGATCTTTTTAATCATCTTTGTTGTGGATTGAATTGTGTTCCCCAAAAACACATTTTGGAGTCCTAAATCCTAACAACCAGAAGTTGATGTAAACAAAGAAGGGCCTCACCTGAGAGCCACACCCTGAATTTGGACTTCAAGCCTCTTGAACTATGAAAAAATAAATTTCTGTCCTTTAAAGCCATCATTTATGGTATTTCTGTTACAGCAGCTCTGTGATACTAAAACAATCTCCTCCTACCAGGTGAACTTCTGCTCATCCCTCAAAGCCCACTTTAATGTTTCCTTTTCTGGAACAGAAATCTTAACTTAGTTTATGAAGAATCCATTAATTCCTCTCTCCTTTGTGTTCTTATGAAAAGGTATATATATAGATTTAAATATTTACTATCCTTTTATATACTCGTTTTGATCCTCACTAGACTGTATTTTGCTATAGGGCAGGTATTATTTCCGACTGATCTTTTTCTATCCCCAGGGCCTATCAAACTGCCTGACATTCTGTTGGCACAAAGTTGACCTAATATTGGCACAGATGAATGAGTAAATTTCATTTACTTGTGAGTGAATGCAGCAAATTCCTTAATTGCTCAATCTAGTTTTCTTATCCTTGAAATGAAAGGGAGTCATAACACTTGGCAAAGGTAAATGATGGATAATGCATGTAAAACAAATGGCATCATCATTGACTCAGCTGCCTGAGCTAAAAATCAGGAGTTTCCCAAAATTTCTGCTTCTCTTTTTACTCTCCCCCGTCTCTCAACTAACCAGTCATCATGACTGGTAACCTTGCAAGGAAACTATAGGTCACTGAGGAATTCCCATTGGACTAAAGCTGCCAGGAAGGACAGGAGGTGAAAGGCACGTGAGGCAGGAATCTGTAATGAAGAAAAGCAGAAGTAAATGACGGAGACATTGGAGAGCAGCAGAGGGACCCAGAAAAGGGAAGATGTCAGGCTGATCTGAGAATTTAGAGATCACTTAGCCCCTGCCCTTAAGAATCTCATGGTCTACTGGGAAGATAAACAGAAATCCAATTTTACTTGGCTTCCAGGACACCATCCAACTTATTTGGCTTTCTACCTACATTTTTGACCTTCTGCCTCAGTCTTGTTTGCTGCTGCTGCTTCTGATGTATTCAAATTCTGAATACTGAAGAAAAGTATTTTTTCATCTATATTTACTCCCTTGTTGATCTCATCCAGGCTCAGACTTTCAACACCATCTCTGTGCCAATGACTCCCGAATTGACATTTCTAGGCCAGATCTCTCCCCTGACCTGCAAACCCATGTTTCCTTGACATTTCTACTCTAATGTTGTTGTTGTTAAGTGCTGTCAAGTCAGTTCCAACTCGTGAAGACCCTGTATAGGGTTTCCAAGGAGCAGTTGGTGGGTTTGAACTACTGACCTTGTGGTTCACAGTTTAATGCTGATCCTACAGCACCACACCAGGAGTCCATTTCTACTCTAATGGTGGTGGTTATGTGCCATGAAGTCGGTTCTGACCTCCCAGTCTTTCCCATTTCAAAAATGACAACTATATGTTTTCAAGTTATTCAAGCCATATTGCTTGACTCCTCTCTTTGATACTGTATATCCAGTCTGCCAGCAATTCCTGTTATCTGTACCTTTTAAATATAGTCTTAATTCAACCGCTTCTATCTGTCACCTCTGGGTTATTGAAATAAGTTCCAAATTAATATTCCCTCTTCTTTTGCTTCTTCTGTTGCTTCTATCACCCTGAAGTCTATTATTCCTAGAAAAGCCAAAGTGACTCTATTAAAATGTAAGTCAGTCTAGATTAATAGAAATGATACATCCAGAATGGAAATAATGAGAATGTTCATGCATTTTGAAAAATATAACTAATACTACCAGATAACTTTAGAAATTGTTATGTAGGGACCTAAACTTCTGTATAAAACTTCACTAAAAACACAATGAAATATTGTTTTTTAAAAAAGAAAGATTGGGTTGATCCTCTGCAATTAAACCTTCACTTTGAAACAACCAGGACTGTTGGGGACCATAATCACAGTTTATGTGCACAGTACACAACTGTTTAAACACCTGTCATCACCTCAGCTAGCATGAGCCAAGGATGGGAGGGTGACTATGCAGAAATTATGAAGTGGGTTGAAATGGAAACTGAGACCAGACAGGAAAAAAGGACTTACTTGCCAAAGGCCACAGATCTGGTGGGGGCAAGAGTGGAAATGTGGATGATTGCTGGCTCTATTAAAGGCTAGGTGAATGGGAGGTGAATTCTTTCATTTCTCTGCTGTCAACTTTGAGGAAGCTGAGTCAGAAGTTACTATGGCAGAGGCATCTGCAAAGACTGCGACAGATGATCAAGTTGACCACTTAAAGGAGGTTTGCCAATAGTCAAGTGCTGTGGTTCTGCCCACTCAAATCTGTGCAGAATCTCCAATGTCAGACTGAACATACCACTGTGAGTCCACTGCGGGTTTGCAGGGTCTGGCTTCCATGAGATCTTGGGGTGAGGGGTGGGGAGGAACCCCGTTTAAAAATGTATCACCTGTTTCTAGAAGGGCCTAGGACATTGTAGGGACGCAAATACTTTCGTTAAAATTATAAATTAATGAATTTATGTATCCAAGCAATAAAGTGAGGCTGAAGAGAGGGGCAGAAGCGGCTTAAAATAACCAAGTTATTATCTGGAACATTAGCCGACCCATTTTCCAACACTGACTTCAGTTGCCAGGGGTCGCTGTGAGGAACCCATTCAGCGGCACTTAGCAACAAACGTCCTGGTAGGGTGCTGTACGATAAGCACTGGACTGGTAAATACAAGGTCGTTATTCAAACGCACTAGCTGCTCTAAGGAAACCCTATACAAGGTCCTTACAAGTTGGAACCCAATAGGGCATTTTTAACAATAAAACAACAATGCAGAGCCTCCTGGCAGCTTTTTCCGCAAGAGTTGAAAAGCAAATACAGTAGAAAGAACAAAAAGGCGGAGCTAAATGGGGCCATTGGGGCGGAGTCGGGGGGGGGAGGGGGGAAAGGGCACGGAGTGGGCGTCGCAAATTTCTTCCCCTTTACGTAACGAAGGTGTGTCAACGTCACATCCGGTCAGATGGGCGGGAGCGGGAAACTAAAGAAAGGAGAGGACGCATGCGTTTGGTGTGTCCCACGATTTAGGCGGGTTCTTCCGCTCAGGCAGATAGAAGTGCTTCCGGGTCGCTACGGTCTGCCGCCTACGGGCGCGGTAAGTAGGAAAGCAAGTTGTAACCATTGTTTCTATGTCCCTTTCTTCTTCTTTTCCTCAGAGAAACCCAGTTCACTTGACCTTTCGCCTCAGGAGCTCCCAGTTCCCATTTACCCGTATAGACCTCTAGCTAATTGGCTGCTTCCTCGAGACTAAACCACACCCTACCATCATAAATTCCGTCATTTATTGATGTCACTTCCGGTCACCCGTCGTTTCTTCCTGCCAATTGGCCCTTCCTAGACCTGATTGTTTTCTCAATGAACAACTCTATAAGGGTAAATTCCTGCCCTAGTCCCGCCCCTGTCCTTTCCCTGTTGGTCAACCCCACGATCGTTATCATTGTGAAAGACACCTGAAAGAAAAGGCGGTGTCTCTTCGGCTGTATTTTGGGCTTTAGGAGAAATGGTCTCTGTTCTTTCAGTTTACTCTTCTGGGAGGTGAGAGTGACTGTTGTCCCCGATGAGTGGGGATGGCAACCGAGGTCTAGAAGAGGAGAGCGGATTTCCCCGAATCGGTCACATGAATCAGAGCAAAACCAGAAATAGACATAGGTTCTTCTCTCCTGCTCGTTTACCATAGTGCCCGGCCCGGATCCCTTTTCCTTAGTTCGGAACTCCCATGTACAGTGTACAATTGTTGCCTCTGGGCCTCAGTTTTCACATCTGTGAGCTGATGAGTTTTAATTCAGACCCTCAGACCATCCTGGTGTGCTTCCTCAGCCTCTCAATTAAAGCTGAATTTACTTAATTTTATTCACATACATGTTCATCCATTCGATCTCCCATCTATTTGTTTACATATATATTCATTTACTTAGGGCTTCTAAAATATTTAACTGCACCCCTCCTTGCACTTGGCACGTCCCCACCCCCCATTTAGCTGTGGTTCATGAGAGGTGATTTAAAGTCCCAGGTTTCTGACATTGGGTGGGTGTGTGGTATGGATCATTCAAAAAGGTTTATAGTGTTTAATTTTGGAATTTCAATCTCCATTCTGAATTCCTGTCTGTACACTTGCCTCCCAGTCTCTTTTTCAATCCATTGTTTTACTTAGGATAACTGAAGTCTCAGAGAACTTCAGTGACTTGGCCAAGGTCAGCCAGCTAGTAAATGATGAAGCCAGGACCCAAACCTTCCCTCATTCCCAGAGGGCAGAGCTGCTTCCCTTTCTACTATACTCCATCCTCAAATCAAGTAACAACCAAAAAAACACCTCACATCTGAAAGTTGGATTTACCTGATCTTTTCCCTCAGTCTAGGAGCCATGTCTACTTTGTTTCCCTCACTCTTTCCTCGTGTGACGGAGACACTTTGGTTTAATTTGGATCGACCCTGTGTGGAGGAGACAGAACTGCAACAGCAGGAACAGCAGCATCAGGCATGGGTGAGTGAAAATCTAGCTGGGTAGGGACACAGCCCTGGAAACCTCAATCATAGAACCTCCTCCACTGGACCGTGACCTACCCAGTCTTGCTCTGCAGAGGCTTTTAGCACTAAGCTAGGAAGAATCAAGTTGGAAGCCCGGGGGGGTGGGCCTAGGTGCTCATCATTGCCCTGTCCTGAGTTGCTGAGGGACCATGGGACCTCTGGACTAGATTGGAACCTCAGGTTTATGACACTCATCCCAGGCTCATGTTCCTAAAACATGGTAAATAATAATTTTGACTAGTTCTTGAGGATCTAACAAATGTCATATTCTAGGCTGATATTCTTTTATTTCACCCTCCCCAAATTTCTATGAGGAAACCAAAGCCCAGAGAGTTTTAAGTAGTTGGATCAAGTTCATAGTGACAGATGACAGAAAAAAAAAGGGGATTGGATCTTCTAAAAACTAGAAGAAAATGTTTCAACACACTTGGAGGTCTTCTTGGGGACAGAATGGGCCAGTCCCATGCTTCTGATCTTCCCTGATTGGTCCCTGGCTCTGCTCCCCTTCTCCTTTTGGCCATAGCTCCAGAGCATTGCAGAAAAAGACAACAACCTGGTACCAATTGGCAAGCCAGCCTCAGAGGTGAGTGGTGCCACCAAGTGTGGCTGGTTGGGGCCCAGAGTGGTCCAAGGCTCTGCTTTAATATCAAAGTACCTGCCTCTAGTCCCAGAGCAATCTGGGTGAAGGCAGAAAGAGGAATTAGAGGGGTTGGGCACTGGGGACAGTGGAGGGACTGGTCTCTTATCCCCAGTTCTAAGATCCTGCTGCTAGATCTGAGGTGGGCAAGGTTGGAGAGTTGGGGATCAGTCACTGGTCCCAGAGAGGGGCTCTAAGTGGGTCAGTCCTTGAACAGGTCTAAGCAGACTTACGAAGGCCCATAGGCTGTCTTCTACCCCACCAGCACTATGATGAGGAAGAGGAGGAAGATGATGAAGATGATGAAGATAGTGAGGAGGACTCAGAGGATGATGAGGATATGCAGGATATGGATGAAATGAATGACTACAATGAATCACCTGATGATGGAGAGGTCAATGAGGTAGGCAGGGGTGTGGAGGGAGGACCTCTGCTCCTGGACTCCTTCCCCTAACTTAATTGGTGGCCTTGGGCCTGGGCTGGCTGGGCAGCTGAGGCCCCTTCCCACCCACACCAGCCTCCTCTTCAGGTGGACATGGAAGGCAACGAACAGGATCAGGACCAGTGGATGATCTAGGTAGACAGGGCAAGAGGATCCTCAAGGAGATCCCAGGCCAGCCCAACCCACCCTGCACCCCGTACAGAACCAGTTGATAGTCACAGTGCCTGAAAGCTTAACTTTGGACACCTCCATAGCTGCTACCAGGACCTGGGCCCCTGGGCCTCTCCCAGGCCATCAGTCTGCACTTGAATCCACAAGGCCTGAGTCCACCGCTTCTTCCAGCCAATACCCTTCTCTTGGCTGCCAGGTCTGGTCTAGTTCTAACTTTCTTTAATAAAGACACAGGACTGATTGATTTTTTTCCCCCACTTGTCTATTAGTCCCAGAGGACTCTAGTGTCTTCTTCTGGGTTTGGGGAGAGGACACTGAAGAGTGAGACCCAGTTGGCCAGGTAGATTGCGGGGAGGGGAAGGCTTGTATGCTGTTTCCTTTGGCCAGCTTATACCCAGCCTCTCATGCGGGGCCTCTAATTGCTGTCTCCTCTGATCCCACCCAGAGTGACATGGGCTGGGGAGGGGTAGATTTCTGAGGGACAGAGTTTGGAGGCCCCAAAGTTCTCCCAGTCACCTCTCTTAGGGTTAGGAGAGAGGATTAAGTCTCAGAGGTTGTCAGGGGCTCATTAGGAAATTGGTCACAGAGCTGGGTTGGGATTTCAGGGCTTTTGTTTCTTAGTCCATGACTCTCTGGAAGGAGGAGACCAGTGGGACCAAGAATCCTGACAGCACTTGGTCCCTGAGGTCCTGAGCCCCACATGTGTCAGACCATAAATAGGGAGTATAGGGGATGTTTTAAGGTCCTTGTTGGGTAGGTGTATGGGGGCAGCAGTAAGTACCCCTGGGCCTATGCCTCAGCCAGGTCCAGCATAGGTGAGCTGGGCTATGCCATCCTTGATGGCAGGGAAGTCCGGGAGGCTGGCATGATGGAGACGGCAACGGTAGCGGCCACAGCTCTTAGCATACTGGAGGAATCGGGGTGCACCAGGGAAGAGCACATGGTCAGCCAACACAGTAGCACCAGCTGACATCAGAGCATGGGCCTCCAGGAGTTGCAGGTCCCGCAGGTAATACCGAGGCCGGTGTGCCAGGAGCACCAGCTCTCCACGGCTCAGCCCATGCTGCGTTCGCAGGCGTGGAATCACCTCCTCTGAGCTACCCACGATGAGCTCCACCTGGGGATAGGGAGAGCTGGAGGTAAGCAGGGATGGATTGCTCCCCTATCCTAGTCTAAACCAGGATCTGGCTTATTTCATGCCAGAGTGTTCTCACTTTTCCTCTGGTCTCATGACCCAAAAGTCCAGGAACAGCATTGTGATTCCCATTCTGCTGTGAAGAAGCTGAGGCTCAAAGGATAAGTGATTTGCTCTCAGCCACACAGCTAACAAGAGGAAGGGTTATGATTGGGACCCACATGTGCCAGACTCCAGAGACAATCTTCTTAACTGTTCCTGTGTCACTGAAAATATGTGCAAATGACTTGGTATAGGAGGACATGAGTTTATCCACCCTCCAGGATCAGTGCCCCCAAATGAAGCTGCTTTCTTTCCCCTAGGTGGGATCTCTCACAGGGGAGGCTTGGCGAGGGCGAGGCCTGGAGTGGGAGAGAAGAAACTAGGGTTGGGGAAGTGGGGGCTGACCATGTGCTCGTTAAAGCCAGCCAGGCGGATGAGTTTTTCAGCCACTGCTGCTGTGCGTGGGTCCCGCTCCACAGTGAAAAGGCGGCCACCAGGAGGTAAGGCACAGGCAATAAGCAGCGTGGAGTATCCACAGTAGGTTCCCAGCTCTAGCACACAGACAGGAGCCTTTTCTTCCACCAGCCGTGTCAAGATCTGGCCTATAGGGGAGAGATAGCTGTTGCAAAAGACCTGAGAGTGGTTGTTAGGCCCCTAAAAGAAAGGGATCTCAAATGCCTACCTGCCTTACTACAGCCCCCAACTGGGGTATCACCTTTCTCTTGGACAATAGCCCTAGCTGCCCGATGGTCCCCCTGTTCTCTCCAAGCTTGCCTCCTCCAGTCTAATCTTCATACCAGCCACTGAAATCATTCTAACAAATCTCACCAAATCACACTCTAGCTTCCATGATTCTACAGGCCTATGCAATTCTACAGGCTGGTTTTCAGGGCCTTTTAGGACCTGATACTATCCTAACTGTCCAGCTTCAGGTCTTGACTTCTACCTGTAGCTTATACCTCAGCCATCCCAAACAACTAACTGTCCAGAATTACCTCTTCTGGGTTCATGCAACATTTGTATATGTGGTTGGCTTTGTTCTTCCCTACCCGTAGCCCTATTTGCTTGGCCAACTTAAAAGTAGTACTTCAGACTCAATTCAAATGTTGCTTCCTTTAGGAAGACTCAGAAAAAAGCAACTACCACATCTTTCAGGCTTCTGAGGGCCCTTTGCTAGAATTCTTATTTAATTCCTCCTTGTATTGTTCATTGGAGTTGAAAGAATATCTTAAATAGCACTCTTAAAGCACTTGTGCCTAAGAGCTGGGAGTCAGATAAATCCAGGCAGACAGCTACCATGAGGTGGTGGAGGAGAAAGACACAGACATAGATCATTACAAAGCTATGGGATAAATGGCGTGATGGTTATCCCCCTGTATTGTGCCATCCTTTGAGGCCAGAATCTGTGGCTCATTCATTCCTTCGACCTCTACTTCCTAAGCACCTAACTTGTGCCTTGTACAAAACAGGTGGCAGTAAATGTTTGCTGGATAGATAAATGAATGACTAGTACAGCCTCATTTCAGATGAGAAAAAGAAACCCAGAGAGTAAAATCTGCCCAATTCACATAGGCCAGGGCATACTCTAGATTTCTTGCCTTCATCTTAGAGAAGCTTCTTGGAGCAGAAGGCTAGAGAACACTGACCTTTGACAGGCCCCAAGTGGCCTAGGTATTCACAGTGGTTGCTCCAGTAGTCCAGGGCTGCAACAATGTGACCAGGGTCCCCAGGCAGAGCATGGGTGAGTACGTAGCTGAAGGCCCGCTCCTCAATCCGTAGCCCTGACAGGCAGTCTCGGAGACTTCTCAGCAAGACTGTGCGTACCAGCAGTCGGAAATGGTGCCGGTACCGCACTAGGAGTGTCACCACCAATGGCAGAAAGGCTAACGCAATGGCAGGAGACATGGTCCCCACCTGGGTCTTGGGGTGGGATAGATGGATGGAGGGAAACCCACACTCACCAATTGCCTGTCATGTATACAATTATTATCCCCTGTATCCCCTTTAAAGGTTTCCTCTACAAATGTGTACACAAACACACCCCACACATCTTTCCCTCAATCAGCTCTCCTTTTTAGGGTACCCCTATGAGGGATTGGTACTTAATTCTTTTCTATGCCCCAGACCCAGACCAGCCTACCTTTCCACCAGATCTGGTATTTGCATGAACCCTGGTGGTGGTGGAAATTAAAAATGCAAGTGAGAGAGTGTATGAAAAGTGTGAATGAGTGGGTTTGAGGTGGTGTGATTGGGAACCCATAATTAAGGGCCCTTCTTACCTGGGCTGGAGACTCCTGCTTGGGGAAGACCCCAGAGCACAGGCAGAGGGACAGTCCTTGGCCTGGGGAAGAATCATGAGGCAAGAGGCTAGACCTGCTCTCAATTATTGATGCTGAGGCTGCTGCTGTCACCTGAGATCTGTAGTTCGAGTTACTAGCTCCAGGGACAGACTTGAGCTGCCACCTAGTCTTCAGAAGGAGCCTTCAAAGTACTTTAAAAATGTCAGGGTCTTGATTTGAGGAGTAATAAGAATTGGAAACCCTATACAGGGTTGCTATGAGTTGGAACCAACTCAAGGGCATTTAACAACAATAAAGAGCTACTAGGTGTGGTGACGTCTCCTCCAGTGCCTTGATTCAGAACATGGGAGATGGTGTGAGCCAACGTGATGACCCACCCACTACCTTCCATCCAATTGATTCCAAGTCAGCAACCCTATAGGACAGAGTAGAACTGCTCCATAGAGTTTCTGAGACTATAAATCTTTATAGACAGACTCATCTATGGAGCCACTGGTGGGTTTGAAAAGCCAACCTGCAGCCCAACACTTAACCCCCTGTGCCACCAGGTCTCCTTTTAAAGTGAAGAGGAGATTACTCATTAATTCAAAACTCGTTTTCTTTAAGCAAGTGCAGGGATTTCCGTCTCAGAGAAGAGTTAAATTCTACTCAAGTCCTCCAAGAACCCCCAGTTTGGTAGAAAAGACTGACCCAGGAACAGAGAATACAATAGTGTGAGTATTAGATTAGATGTCAGCACCTCAGAGAGTACTAGGATTTATTGCTGCTTTGTTAACTGCTGCATATCTGGATAGAAGAATGCCTGGCACTGGATATTTGTTGAGTTAATAAATGACTTAACATTGAATAGAAATTAAATACAGGAAGTGGGAGGTCCCCAGAGAACGGTGTCAGAGAAGGTAACCAGGAGGATATTAATGTGTGTATTGAAGCCAGAAGGTAGGTCTGGGGAGACAATGTGTAGGGCTCATATCAAAGTCCAGGAAGTCAATCAGGTGTCAGGTTCTGCAAGATCTTGAAAGAGACTTGGACTTAGTATTTAGGGCTGCAGGAATTCGCTGGAGGGTTGTTTGAGAAACGAGATGGTCAACTTTTGTGTATTAGATGACGGAAGGACAGAATTGAATGGAACTGTCTGGGAGTAGGATCAATGAGGCTGCCTCCATCTCCGCTATCAGGAACGAGCTCCTTTTTTTTTTTTTTTTTTTTTGCTTCATGAAGGAATAAGGTCGCTTCTCCAGTCATATCCCTAGGTCAGATTGGAAATTTCGTTGGGCGTCAAACCCTCTAATATTTTCATCTGGTCTTGTGTATGTGCACACAAACTGAGCCCTTTACACAGCATTTAGAAGAGCATATTAGGACCGTATTTAGGATAAAAGTTCGTTCTCAGGTCCAGAAAGGTGGCCTCAAAGCCACATGATCAAATAGTATGAATTGCAGGCAGCATTTTCAGTTCGTAGTGGAGATAGAAGGTACTGGGAAGTCGGGTAAGTCATATGATCTGCCCCTCCCTTTCCTCCGAGGCCTCACATGTTTCACTTCTAGTCGCACAGGGCGAGCCCACTCATTGGTTGGTGATAATCACGCGGGAGTCGGGACCGGAAACGGGTCTGCGGAGCCTGTCCGAGACGGAGGCGAAGAGACTCAGGGAAGGACTAGGCTCGGAGGCGGGTGTTCGCTGGTGGCTGGCAGGCAGCCTTATGTCATGTGACCGGAAGGATTCCTGACGGACGCCGTCCCTCCTCGGCGCCGCCTGAGCGCCCGGCCTGACCCCGGCCATGGGGTGCTGCTACAGCAGCGAGAACGAGGACTCGGACCAGGTGCGGCCGCGGCGGGCGGGGCTCGGGAATGAGGGCTGAGACCTTAGGGCATGGGGCCAAAAAAAAAAAATTAAAATTCTGCAGAAGGTGAACCGAACTGCAAGGCTTACGAGTACGGCGGCCCAAAGGGGCCAGATTACAAGAGGGATCGCTGGGCCTGACCCTTATCCCTGTTGAAGTCCCAGCTCTACACAGTCTCCGGGTGTTTGTAAAGGCAGCCCCCGGTCTTTGTTTCCAATCCTTACTCCTTCCCCTGTCTCACACCTTGACAACATTAAGGAGCCTCTAAGAGAGCCCCTGGGAAGTACTTCTTTCCCAACTTATGTGCTTTCTTTGTTCCTGCTTGTCTTAGACATTGTGAGTCCCGTTGCAGTGATAGGTAAGTTGTGGCTCAGAGTTAGCATGTCTCGAGATAAATCAGTATTTTTCTCCTCCGTCCCGGTGTGGCTCTCTAAGATAGCACTGAACTGCTAACTGTAAGGTCGTTGGTTCAAATCCACCAGCTGCTCCTTGGAAATCCTATATAGACTTGCTGAGTTGAAACTTACCTAACGACAAAGTTACAGCTGGCCTTGGAGTCAGAGAAGGCCTCTTGAAGTTGGTGATATTTGAGTTGACTAGTGAAGGATTTAATAGATACAGACAAAGAGGATATCTGGACAATCGGAAACTTTTTTGGAAGCAACAAACGATTTAGGGGAGAGAAAAGTAGGAGGTGGAGAGCTCATTTGTTACTGAGTATGGTCTGCTTCAGCACTGCCCGTGTGTGGGACTTTAGGGTTCCTCTAACTACAGAGCTTCCTATACTGAGAATTTAGCAGTCAGTCTGACCCCCAGGGAGAAAGGACTAGGCTGGGAGACATACAGTTTTAAATTATCTTTCCCCTTTAGTGGGTTTTCATTTCTTTGCCCTTTAAATCTCTGCCCTGCCTGACCTGACATCTTTTGAGAAGGAAGCGGCCTTTCTACGGATGATGTCTCATCTTTTTTTTATTGCTTGTGTTGTTTTAAGGAGTTCTGGTGTGTCGCTGTAGGATAAGCACTGGACTGCTAACCACAAGGTCCTCAGTTCAAACCTACCAGCTGCTCTTCAGAAACTCTCTACAGGGTCACTGTGAGTCGGAACTGACTCAAAAGCATTTGACAACATTATTTTATAGAACTCTCTAAACCTCAGTTCTATAGTTTAACACATACTGAATACAGGAGGCAACAGAAAGGTTTACAGTAGCTTAGTTTAGTGAGGGGGTCACATTCATAGTTTTTTTTATCAGTGGTAGCTAGAAGTTAGTCTTTTCTCAAAAATTCCCATGAACCTCTTGAATAAGGAATTGTTGTTGGTAAGTGCCATCGAGTCAGTGGATAAGGGATTAAGCTCAGGAAAATGATGTTGGTGTGAGAGGCACTGAACATCCTTAGCACATACTCATATTTGTTAGGCCCTGGGTTAGGTATGCATTATGCCCAGTACCTCTCACTTCATTCCAGTATTAGAGTGGGAGACACGATCTCTGCCTACTAGGAGAGCTGTAGCCGCATGGAAAATTATCTCTTAAAGCAAAGTGTGGACTCTTGCAAGGAATGAGTCAAGAAGAGTTAATGACTTCTGAGACACAGCATATCAGCTTCTAGCAGACAAGGAAATCCAGACTTGCTACTGTCCTGAAATCTCCACCTTTCCCTCGTGTTTCTAACCCCCTAGTGAAGGCACTTGGCCAGTGATTTGAGGCTCCATGTGGCAAAGACCTACTGACTTGGTCTTCAGATCATAACTATTTACTGTACTGTTGTCATAGGTGTAGGGGTTCTGACCCCAAAACCCTCCTTTCAACTTTTGGGAAAGCTCCTTTCCCATTTTCATCTCTGCCTCTTTATTGTAATTAAAAGAAAAGTACAACACATTACAGTTTCCAAAGGACTTTTACAGTTACCCCATTTGACTTTTGCTGTATATGTCATATGGAGTCCTGGTATGGTGCAGTAGGTTAATGTCCCAGACTGCAAAGCCATTTGAATTGTAAGATTGGTGGTTCTAGCTTACCAGCTGTTCCTTGGAAACCCTATACAGGGTCGCTATGGGTTGGAACCGACTCGACGGCACTTAACAATAATAACAACATACGTGTGATATAAGTATACATTGAGAAAACTGAAAAAAGTGATTTAGCCAAGGATACCAACTGAGAAGTGGCATAGCCAAGATTTTGTGATGTCAGGCCATTGTGCCAAGCCAGGACTGGATTACCCAATATGCAAGGTAAGCCTGGGCTTACTTGTGCTTATTTACTAATCTTTGAGGAAGAATTTTACATTTACAGTCTTACCACAAAGATGTGTTGGAAAACACAGAAAATGCTCACTACAGATTAATAGGTAAGCCCATGCTTACTTTGCTTATGCTTACTTAGGTACTCTGTCCCTGTTGAAGATTGTAAATTTGGAAACTTTTTGATTATGTAGACAAGTGCAGTAGGAGCAGAATCTTTGATATGATAAATAAATGTGAAATTATTCACTATAGATTAGTAAGCACAAGTCTGCATTCACCATGCATATTGGGTAATCTGACGCTGGGCCAAGCTGTCTTTTCTAGTCATGCCTACAGATAACACGGATAGTTCTGGGCAGGCCATACGAGTCTGTACTAGAGTAAACAATGAAATGCTTGCTTCTGGGTTCCATGGACTTGAGAACAAACAGTGATGCTCCCTTGCTTCTGCCAAGCTCCACTGGGCATAGAATGACCTCTTCTGGGAGCCACGTAGGTCTGCTGTTAAGTGCTGTTGAGTGGGCTCTGATTCAGTGACCCTGTATAGGGTTTCCAAAGAGCGGCTGGTGAGTTTAAACTGCCCTGCTCTATAGGAACATTTGTCTGAGATGGGGCTAGGGGAAGGAAAGACACACAGACACACAGGAAGCAAACTCAGGCCTCACTAGGAGCCAGTTTTCTTTAGAGATAGTTTTATCTTTGGCAAGTATTTTGTTTTTCCAGCCTTAAATTCTGAGCCTGTTTTTGGGAAGAAGGAGGGTGTCTAGGAGTTTAGAGATGAAGTGAAGAGAGAAGCCCACAACTCATCTGTCACATGCTGTTGGGAACTGGCTCAAACTGTTGATAACCTTGGGCAGGAGGAAGTGTTGTTAAGTACAGTGGAGTCAGTTCCGACTCATAGTAACCCTGCACAGGGTTTCCGAGGCTGTAAATCTTAATGGGAGCAAAACGTCTCATCTTTCTCCTGTGGAACTGCTGGTAGTTTCGAACTGCCGACCTTGAGGTTAGCAGCCCAATTCGTAACCACTATGCTACCAGAGCTCCTTAGGAGGAAGTGTAACCCTCAATAAAAAGAGTTGAGAGCACTGGGGGCCTGGGAGTCTGCAATAGGAAAGTCTGGTAGGAACTGAAATAGCTCTGGGTGGAGCATTGAGGAGTCGGGTGGTCTGGCACACAGGGTGTGCCAGATGGATCCCCCACCCCCGCCAATCTTTGGCTTTGTCCTGAGCACCCTGCTTATGACATTGATAGATAACCAGCAGATCTGTGTATCCAATTTGTAGTTGACACAGCCAGCAGGGATTTGCAGCTCCTAGGGTCATATGTAGGAAGATTGCTGTGATTAGAATTAAGGACTAAAACAGGACAAGAAGAAATACATGAAGAATTATATAGGGCCGGAAGACTTGGTTTGGACCCTGGTCAGGTCCAGGGGTTATGATTGTCAGAGTAGACTGGCAGTAAGAGGGCTACTGAAAATAAACGAAGCTTCTCAGGCCACATTAATGGAGGTGGTGGCTTGGCAAGGGAGGGAACAGCTCCACTGTTCAGCTCAGCTAAGGATATACCAGGTGTACTCAATTTGGTTCTGAGAATCATATACAGAGGAGAGAAGAGGAGAGACCTGAAAGTAGACGGACCTGCCCACAAGAATCATGTTACTTGGCGTCTGGGGCGCTGGTTCCTGTCATAATTTGAGGAACTCTTTGAGAGGCTGGACTGGTTTTCCCTCAGTGCCTAGGGCTTTATCTGGTTGCAGACAGCTTGCTGGAGATTCTGGCTATAGGACAAGGAGAGCCATTTTCGGACTTCTGACTTGATCCGTCTTTCTTCTAGACCATACTGTCATCTTGGTTTTTCCTACCTCCTGTCTTCCAGCCTCCAGTATCCTCTCTCTACTGCATGCTGGACTGTTTTCTGGAGCTCCAGGGCTGCTGCTGAAGCCTCTGTTTAGAACTACCAATGGCTCATGGACCATTTTGTCCAGGCCAAGCCCTTCTGTCTACCTTTTCATGGTATCTGGGACCTTCTTGGTTCTACTCTAGTTTATCCTAGAGCACCAACTCAGTTGAGTTTTTATGGGTAGGTAGGAACTGAGTCTTATTTATACTCCACAAAGTTGAGTGCTTTGGATATTCCTATTAAAATATCATTGCTGCTAAAAGATCAGAGCTTGGCTGAGAGGGGAGCCGCAGGAAACACTGGTTGGATCAAGGATTCTGAGGATGACTTCTCCGTGGTCTCTCCTAGGACCGAGAGGAACGGAAGCTGCTGCTGGACCCTAGCAGCCCTCCCACCAAAGCTCTCAATGGAACTGAGCCCAACTACCACAGCCTGCCTTCTGCACGCACAGATGAGCAGGCTCTGCTCTCCTCCATCCTCGCCAAGACAGCCAGGTGAGCCTCACAGGACCAAGCCTGGGCAGAGCTCCTCCATCCAGGTTCAAGGTGGGAATCAAGGGAGTTAGGGCCAGGACATGGGAACAAGGTCAATGGGGAGCAGTGTCTCTGGGCCCAACCCTGCTCCACTGAGCAGGCAGGGTCACTGGTATCAGATAACCCTGGAGTTGGCACCTGGCAGTGAATTCTGTTTGTCCCTCTTGGAAGCACCTGTCACGTCCATTCTCTCTCCTCCTCCCAAAGCAACATCATTGATGTGTCTGCTGCAGACTCCCAGGGCATGGAGCAGCATGAGTACATGGACCGAGCAAGGCAGTACAGGTGAGCACCCGGCTAGCTTGGGTCCCTCAGACTACTACAGCTCCTGTCTTCCACCCCTGATCCTGCTTTGGAGCCTGGACCCAATCCATGTTCATTTGGGTACAGCCCAGGAGACCCATAAACCACTTGGGTGCCTCTGTAGATGTTTATATCAGCTATGTTTGCCCTATCATACTCTGAGGACAATGAAGTTCAGGGTGGTGGGTTCACTGAATCTGTGATGAACAAGAGGACCCCTGTAATCCTGCTTCCCTCCCTCTTGGGTAGCAACCGCTTGGCTGTGCTCAGCAGCAGCCTGACCCATTGGAAGAAGCTGCCACCGCTGCCATCTCTTACCAGTCAGCCCCACCAAGTGCTGGCCAGTGAGCCCATCCCCTTCTCCGACTTGCAGCAGGTGAGCCACCTCTTTTGTCCATCCCTTCATCCCATCCCTCTTTAGGTGTGGTAGAGGGTTCACCCTTTTCCAAAGGTGGTAGGAAATGGGGTTGGGAGGGTTAGTACTTTGTGGGGCTCTGCTCAATCACAATTCACCTTTTTATGTCCTGTCCCTCCCTCCTATTTTATTTTTCTCCTCTTTGTTCCCTTTGCTTCTTTCTCTCTCATCCCTACCTTTCTCTTTTGCTCCTGACCCCCTACCCACCTTTCTCTGTTCCTTTTCTCCCCGGCCCCTTCTCAGGTGTCCAGGATAGCTGCTTATGCCTACAGTGCACTTTCTCAGATCCGTGTGGATGCAAAAGAGGAGCTGGTTGTACAGTTTGGGATCCCATGAAGAGAGGGGCTCCTTGGACAGCTATTTCTTCTCTCTTCACCTCGTCTCCACCTCACCTCCCCTGGCCCCTAGCCTCACTGCAGCACATACAGTACCCTAACCTGCTACTAATCCTGGAGAACAATGTGGAGGAGGAGAGTGAGGCTGGAGGCCTGAACAAGTGAGGATGGAGCAAGGGAGGGTAGTACTGTTTGAAACTGGCCTTTGAAGCCCCAGCCAGGGGTGGTGTGAGGCCAAAAGAATGGTAGGTCTTCACAGTCACTGAGAAGGTGGAGGTACCACTCTGGGGGTGATCATCAGGGGCCCTCGGCAGGCCCTTTCCCACCCCTTCTCTGGGCCTCAGATTCACTCCTGTCCTCCTTTCCCCTGACTTGGTGCTTACATGCACCTCACTAGGGTTTGTGACTAGGGTTTGGACGAGCTTGAATTGGAATGAATTCCTGTTTCTAGCACCCTGGGTTTTTACATGTTGGTCTTTTGTTTTCGTTTGTCACCCTCGATAAAGGAAGTGTATTCATCTGTGTACTGATTCCAGTCCCTCTGTCCTGCCTACCACCCTACCACTTAATTCTGGCTACTCCAGTCTGAATGGTGAGGTGGGTGGTGGTGGGCCGTGGAGTCAATTCCAACTCACAGCAACCCTGCATAGGGTTTCTGAGGGTGTAAATCTTTACAAGAGCAGAAAGCCTCAGCTTTCCCCCATGGAACTGCCGGTAGTTTCGAACTGCTGAACTGTGAGGTTAGGAGCCCGACTCGTAACCACTATGCTATCAAAGCTCCTTAGTGAGGTTTGAGGAAGGGCGAATAGAGGAGATAAGGGCTGAGGCTTTCCAGGTGAGACTTGGCCTTAGCTAATTTCAAATTTTATGATAGAAGACTGCTGGTTCTTCAGTGATGGGAACACTGTCAAAGCTGGAAAGACTTGAATCTGGGATGGCTGTCAATATTGGGGGCCTTGCATCAGGCTCTGTAGAATTTCTAGCAGCCAGGGAGCAGTGGGCAGGCATTGGCCAAACCAGTTCTCTTGGGAGCACTTGCTCTGGCGTCAGCATACAAATGTTTCAAGCAGAAGAATCTTGTCATTAATTGAAGTCTTAAGCATAATCCCAAAATATAAGACATAACAGTGGACCTACTTTGATCTGTACTCTGCACTGAGGAGGGTTCACGGATCACAGCCCATCTCTTTGGCCTCCTATCATGGATGCCTCAGGCATCTCTGCAGAACCTGCTAGTCTGTGAAGAGTTCGGAAGTTACTTACCAGCTCTAACCCCATGATACTGTGAGCCTGAGGAGTAAAAAGAGGCCCAGAGAGGCAGCTCTTCTACCTCCTTGTCTCTGAAGTAATACCAGAGTTCTGGACAGTTGCTTGAGTAGGAGGGCATCTCTGCAAGGTACAAGTGACTTCTTATCTGCTGAACAGCTCAAATCATTTATTATCAAATCAAGCTGATCACTTTGAGGTCTTTAGGACTGCTGGGGCCCTGGGAACTCAGAATACATTCTGCTTGATCCGGACCTTCTTGGGCTTGATGTTCATGCGTTTCCAGACTTCAGCTGTGGTACGGTCTGCTTTGGTCACCCCACTGAAGTCAAACGTGGTGATACGGGGCAGGGTGCACAGCACGTATTGCCTGTGGGAAGACTAGGGCTGGGGGCCAGCCCCCCCACCAGAACTCCCTTCCCCTCCATTGCTGCTATTTCTCCTCAACTGCAAGGAATGGAGGGACTTAAGTATAGTTTGGGGAGATTGGGTTTACCCAGACAGACAGCAAGATATACCTTACAGTCTGCTACTCCTGCTGGCCCCAAGGTGGCAGAAGAATGGTCTTGGATTTTTTTCTATCTTTTCCTCAACAGAGCCCAACTCCAGGGACAGGGCACTTACCTATATCCCTTCTCTTCCTCCATGGGATTCCCATGGAGTGTCAGGCTTCGGAGCCGAGGGAGGACAGCCAGTTTATCTACCTCCCCAAGGCGTTGGATGCTGTTGCCATGGAGATAGAGGACACTCAGGTTGAAGAAGGATGTTAGAACCTGTTGGACAAGGAAACCAAAAGCCATGGTGGAAGGGGTCCTGGATCAAAGTTCAGAACTGTCCTGTGGTAGAGAAGGAAGCATTTGGGGAACAACTTGCCCTTAATTATACTGGATGACTTGTAAATCTTTCATTTACTTTTAAGGGGTACAGGGACATTACACAGACATAGAACTGATTCCCAAGTCATGTTCCAGCTCCTTTTTAGTCTACCAGGAATGCTGGACAGGTAGGGGCTATTGTTATTTCCTAAAACTTGAGCCTATTTACCACCTGTCTCTTCCACAGCAGAACACTGCATAAGACTCAGTGGTGCTTAATAATGAGAGCTACCATTTTACTTCAGCCTATGAGCCAACTGAGGTTATTTTACGTCTCATTTAATGCTAACAAAACCTTAGGATACAGGCTAAGCTTTTGGGATGGCAGACAGATTTAGGAATTGGACCTACATCTGTTTGACAATCCCATCCATGGGCATTATATCATGAAACCTTGCTATTTCTTTAGTAACACAGGAAGTGGAGAAGCTAGGGGCTGAACAAGGTGATATCAGGCCCATCATGACTGCTTAATGGGCTGAGAACTCACAGAGTCAATGGAAGTCAGATCATTGAAGGACAGATCAATCCAGGCCAAGTTCTGCGGGTACTCCAGCAGCTGTGAGGCGACCTGGCTGAAGTCTTTCAAGTCATTGAGGATATTGTTGTTCAACCACAGGGACTGAGTTAATGACTTCCCCGACGACTTAGAGTGCCTCAGTGGTCGGAGCCCTGCCCTTGGCTCCTCACTTACCAGATCTGCAGAAAGAGGGAAACTTGGATGTATAGCATTCCTTTCTTGGCTTCGGGAAAGGGAAGAGTTGGGAGGGTGTAGTTGTAACTCAAACTGTAGCTAGAGAGGCTGGCAAGGCCCTAGCCTTGAGCTGGAGCTTAGGGTGACCCTGTGTTAGCTAAGGACCCTGTTCTTTAGCTGTTCAAAGTAAGTTTCTATAAGGACCAAGTATTTCCCATTCAAATTCCTGGTTTTCCAGGTCTTCTTGATGTGTACTGTTTGGATGGGGCCTTTGTATGCCACCCTATGTTGATATGGGGACAAAGTCACTTGTTTTATAGATGAGGAAAGTGAAAACCAGATGATAATAGAATCCAGAATTATATTTACTGATTGTGGTGGCTGTGTGCCGGGAAGTTGGTACTGACCCATAACCACCCTCTGTAGGGTTTCCAAGGCTGTAAATCTTTGCAGGGGCAGTAAGCCTTAACTTTTTTAAAACCCTCAGAGCTTCTTGTGGATTTCAACTGCTGACCTTGAAGTTAGCAGCTCAATGTAACCCACTATGCCAGAAGAGCTTCATTAGAATCTATAAAACTCACTTCCATGTGAAACACTGATGTGTTTCCTCTCTTCCATTAGTATTGAGCACCTACTACATGGCCAGATTGTGGATAGACAATAGTGAACAAAGTGAGGTCATCTGTGCCAGACTCTTGAGTTTGTGCCCTGGAGGAAATCCCTTGGGCAAGTTGGAAGAATTTGGCAAAATAAGTACTAAGTGTATATAGTAGTCATTGAAGTACAAAAGGGACTGGTAAAAAGGGAGAGAGACCAGCTTAGAGAGAGAGAGAAAGGAGACAGCATGGTGTGTGTGTGTATTTATGTGTGTGCGCTCTGCACAAGGTATACAAGGGAAAAGACACCCAAATCATGAAGACCTACAGCAAAGGAGATGATTCCAGTTTTCATTTCAGAAAGATAGAACGTTCTCTGTGAAGCAACTTCAGGAGGCCTTTCACTTCCCCATAGGCATATTCCGGATTTTTACTGTGAAGTACGGATTTTAGAGAGGCGCTAAGACTGAAAGACCAATTTGGCTATTTCCTCAACCAAGAAAAAGGTGAGAAGGACCTGAAGCAAGACAGATGATAGGGATGGAGAACTATTTGGAAGCTACAATCAGCATGTTTTGATGGTTGGCTGGATGTAAAGTAGTATTCAAGAGTGGGACCAGGTTTTTGGTTTGGGTGACTGGGCATTAACTGATGAAGAGTTACAAAAAAGGAACTGGTACAGTCGGCTTTGGTGTGTTTGAGGTGCCCATAATCTGTCCAGGTGGAAAAGGCAAGTAGGTAGTTGGATATGTAGGTCTGAAAGGAGACAATTTGCAAATCATTAGCATAGAGGGTGTACAAGCTGGAGGAGTAGACTGAGAGTCCCCAGGGAAAAAGAAGGGTCAAGGTAGAAAAATCATCTATGAAATGACTTATCAGGAAGGGATAGGGAGAACCAGGAAAGCATAGTTTGAAGATACTCTTATAGATAAGCTTATAGGAATAAGCTTCAAAAGGAGATCTGGTGTGCATGCTATAGGATAAGCACTGGACTGCTGACCGCAAGGTTGGTGGTTCAAACCCATCAGCCGCTCCTTGGAAACCCTATACAGGGTCGCTGAGTGGGAACCAATTCGACCTCACTTAAAAAGTTTCAGAAAGATAGGAAGTCCCTGGTGATCTTGGTGTCAGCTGTTTTAATGAAATGGCAAGGACACTGGGTGGGGGTTAGGGAGCAAAAGCTAGTTCATCAGTGATTTAAGAAAATAAAAGCAAGATGTATAAACAACACATAAAAAGACTGATGAAGATTAGAGAAATTAGGGAAATGGTTGGAGACATTTTAGGACCCATCTTTATAGATGCCTTTCTATCCATCCTTTTGCCTTTTTTGTTATGAGGTCCAGAGAGGATGAACCTTGCCTAAGCTCAGTCAACAGCAATTAGAAACACTGTCTGACAAAAGTGACTACCCCACCCCACCCCACTGTGCCTAAGCCTTTGATTTCTAGTCTAGCGTTGCCTTCAGAAAAGGAAGTATTTAGTATTGCCAAACCTGACCAACATATCATTTCCCCGTAGTTCTCTTTCTGGACACACTAGTCTTCCTTGCCACCCTCAGCCAAAGCTAACGTCCCCTCCTTAGCTGCAGGTCAAGCAGTATCCACCAGAGGGCTCTCTGTCTGAGTCCTGGAGAGAGCTGACTCAGTTGGGGCCTGAAGCGGGGGTGGGGGGGTGGG